TGTTGAATTTTAATTTTGTGTTTGTAAATTCTGTACATTTAATTAAGTTATTGTTAATTTAATGTAAGTGGCTATTGTTCGTGACGAACAATACTAAGGAAGGGGCAGTGTTACGACAGCGGAAGTCACGTGACGCTGGTAACACGTAATGCGTTCTAGAAAGGACTTGTATCGCTGAATTTTTCGGAAGGAATTTTTTAAGGGAAAATAACAAACGACCAGAGACGTAACAGCTCTTTCGTTTCTCTTGTCCTTACCATCATCCGGTCCAGTCTGCATCTATGAAGGTAGAGAGTTTATTTTTAATTCTTTGTCTTCATTTATATGAACCTTTTGTATACTATACTATTCTGTTTTGTTTACTATAATTTTTTATGAGTTGACGCTGGATCTTTGTCTTTTATTACAACACAAATGAAGAGGTGATTCTTGTATTTTAACAATCTACTCTATAAAATTTCAACAATTAATTCAGTTACTTTGTTACATGCTTTTATAACAGTTGTTGACAACTCACTCCAATTTCTTCAGATAATGCCTAACGCGTTTCATCTGTAGTGTTCTGTGCTAAGCCTTAAATAAAGACTTGTGTTCTATATCTTGTCACTTACACTTTTCAGTTTATTCTTGCCATTTGAATTGATGGTCATTTCCAGACTTCCAACAGCTATCTGCATAAATGTGCTTATCCAGAAGAATTACATATATATAATTTTATTTCAAAATTTGAAATTAATAACCTCATGAGGATAAAGACAGATCCATTAAAGATGTCTTATAGATGTATTTGTATAATAACCTGGTGGCTAATATTACAATTGTTCACAGTTTGCAGTAGCGCTGCAGTTCGAAGTCTACCAAGAAGATCAGATGAAGAGCCCTCAAGATGATGTCCTTCAGAGCAACTCCTGTTCAGAAAAGGAAGGAAGCAGTTTGGAAGACAAGTCCTCTGATCCAAAACTAGAGTTTGAGATCGACGAGACAGGAGTCTCTTCTAATGAAAAGAATAGTGCTTTCCAAAACAATAAGAAATCCAAACTTTTCAAAGGAGTGATTTTTACTTTAAGTTCCACCGTATTTTTCTCTTTAAATGCTGTTATTGTGAGACATTTACAGAATGTACATCCAGGTGAAAAGGCCTTTTTTCGTTTTCTTGGAATCTTTATATTTAGTTTACCGTTACTAATACACTCTAAACAAGAACCGTTTGGTCGAAGGAATGTCATACTTATGGTGTTTCTTCGCGGAATATTTGGATCCCTTGCTTTATTTATGAGGTTTTATGCTTATCATTTCCTTCCCATCGCGGATGCTTCAGTGATCGTGTTTAGTATTCCGATATTCGTGACCATTTTTGCAAGGATCTTTCTAAATGAACCTTGTGGCTGGTTTGAAGGTATTTTGTTAGTTTTCACCATTTCTGGAATTACATTAATGACTAAGTTACCACTCCAGTTTCTACAAAGTGAAGAATCTATCGATGTTTCAACTAAAGAACGTATTTTTGGTATTGCTATGGCCTTAGGATCTACAATATTTGCCTCTTTAGTATATATAGTTATTCGTAAGGTTAAAGATGTTCATCATTCAGTTATTTTGTTCAGTTATGGATGGATAGGTGTTATAGTTTGTACAGTTGGTACAGCTGTGTTTGGATAATTTTCTTCTATGTCATGTGGCCTTGATCAGTGGCTTATTGT